AGCTTTGGGTAGAGGAGGGGCAAAAGACGAAAGTGGCGGCAGAGAGAAAAGGCGCTCCATCCCATCCAGCGGAAGATTGCCATCCAATCACGGTCACTAGTCCCAGCTCCAGACAATATTATATGAAAAATAACTGAGTTAAATCATTGTCTTATTTCAGCTTGGATATTTTTATGGATTAAGGTGCATCCAGCACCTTCAAGTATTTTGTCAGGTACACTCAGTAGCCTAAAGTAATTTATGGTGTAATTTTACCCTCAAAGTAATTAAAATGATGCACCGGTATCCCATGCTAACAGATCTGTTAGTTTAACCGTTAAATTGATGAGTCAGTACAAGTTTGACCAAAATAATCTGACGTGGCATGTCTAATAAGCAGGTGATGTGAAATTTTTTCGGGATTAAGATGCATCCAGCACCCCCAAGTATTTTTCCAGGTGCACCCAGTGGCCTAAAGTAATTTATGATGCAATTTTGCCCTCAAAGTAATTAAAATGGTGCACCGGTATCCTATGCTAACAGATCTGTTACTTTGACTGTGAAATTGATGAGTCAGCACAAGTTTGACCAAAATAATCTGACCTGGCATGTCTAATAAGCAGGTGATGTGGAATTTTTTTCGTCTGCCACTGCTTTGTTTTCTCTGTTCAGTAAATGCTCTCTTCGGCTCTTGGAATTTTTTTCAGAGTAAGAAATTTTTTCAGAGATACTCCTCTGGTCCTATTTATAGGGTAGAGAGAGAATATTTTTTTTTGTCCTATTTATAAGGCACTGAGAGAAATTTTTTGTATGAATGTACAAATTTACCCCTCATTTATTATTGTATTGACTTTGTTTATATGAGGTATAATGCATATTAAATAGGGATAAAGTTGAAAAGTTATTAAAATTTAAATGAGAGTTAATGAAATTTAAGGTTTTCCTAGGTCTGTGTGAAACATGCTGGAAGTGCCTTATAAATAGGACTAGAGGAGTAATATTCAGACAAAACAATGGAATTAACAAGAAAAGCCATGTCACCTGCTTATTAGACATGCTAGGTCAGATTATTTTGGTCAAACTTGTGTTGACTCATCAATTTCACAGTCAAAGTAATAGATCTGTTAGCATAGGATACCGGTGCACCATTTTAATTACTTTGAGGGTAAAATTGCACCATAAATTACTTTAGGCCACTGGGTGCACCTGGAAAAATACTTGGGGGTGCTGGATGCACCTTAACCCCGAAAAAATTCCACATCACCTGTTTATTAGACATGCCACGTCAGATTATATTGGTCAAACTTGTGCTGACTTATCAATTTAACGGTCAAAGTAACAGATCTGTTAGCATGGGATACCGGTGCACCATTTTAATTACTTTGAGGGCAAAATTGTACCATAAATTACTTTAGGCCACTGGGTGTACCTAGCAAAATACTTGGGGGTGCTGAGTGCACCTTAACCCTATTTTTATTATATTGCAAATCATTGATAAAAAACTTATATGTGTTATAAATAATAGGATATAGTTAGAAAAGTAAAATATATTCATCATAGTACAGTGAAATATGTTGACACATAAAATTTGTAAACAAAAATGAATAAATTATTAATTTTAATTATGAACATTTTTCATGATACCAAGTACGAACTGTGGTAATCCCATTTTATATATTTTTATGATAAGTTTTTTCCCCAAAAAAATGATGATATTGTGAAGTTAATTTTTTTAAAAGATAATGACCATTTTATGATAAGACTTTTTTAATTATGAAGCATTTTTTTCATGATACCAACATTGTGCTGAGACCATTTTGTATTTTTTTTATAGGGTCTTTTCCAAAAAAAAAAATAGTATTTTGGAATTAATTTGGTTTAAAAAAGCGAATCATTTTATGATAAGGTTTTTTTTTTTTAATTTACGAATCCCTTTTTCACTAAGCTGACATTGCCATGAGACTGTTTCAGTATTTTATTTTAGGACTAAATGCAAATTTGTCCCGAAAATTTTCATTTAAGAGCACTAAGCACGTGGATTTTTTTTTTTGATACAAATTTATCTGGTAAATTTAAAAATCATAAGGGATAATTAATCCACAGCTCCTTATAGTTTCAACTAATTTTGAATCAAATCCTTATAGTTTTTTTTTCTTTTTATCAGATCCTTATACTTTCACCTGTTTTTAATTAGGTCCTTGTATTTATTTTTCTTTTTATCAAGTCCTTATAAGTTTACCTTATTTTTAATTAAGTCCCTGAATTTTTTATTTTTTATTTTATAAATTCTAATAGTACTATTATATAAACATAAAATAGTATATATTATTTAATATTAATTTATAAACAATAATATTGTAAAGATATTGAATTATTATAATGATTTTAATTTTTTCAGAAAAAAATTAATTGTTCTAAAAAATTTTCCTGAAATCATTAATTCTATTACTTTTTTATTACATTTTATTAATTTAATTTAATTATTAATATTTTATATTTCAGTATTAATCTATTTAATTAAGCTTATATTTAATTAATAAATAAAAATTAGAACTACATGCACCTGATTAAAAATTTGATAAAATTATAAGGACTTAATTAAAAGAAAAATAAATACAAGGACCTAATTAAAAAAAGGTAAAAGTATAAAGACCTGATAAAAAAAACTATAGACCTGATTCAAAATTCATTAAGACTATAAGGACTTGTAAATTAATTAACCCAAATCATAACAATGTTGTCCACTACTGTTAAAAATATTAATGATCAACATCAGTCTTTTAATGGTAAGAAGTAATGTTGCTATGATTTTAAACTTTCAGGACAAATTTGTACTTTAAAAAAAATTTATGAGTGCTCAACGTTGCTCACTGAAAACTTTCAGGGTTTATTTACACCTTAATTCTTTTATTTTATTGTTTACAGGGTCTCGGTGAAAAAGCCGATTAAGATTCAAGGCATAAGACCCAAAGGACTGGTTCCAACTTTTCAAAGCGCGGAAGAAGGAAGAATTCCTAAAGTACAATAGTTATTACAGAAGTTCTCCAATGGGAAGGTTCTATACATATTTATATATCGACTCAGATGAGGTTATTACTTATGTGTGCTACTATTCAAGCTACTCTATTAAGCGGCCAGGGCGTTGCTAATTTAGCAAGCATTATCTTGAGGGATGTCACCCCCACTATTCTTTGGGACCCTGCTTTCCTCTTCTACCCTTGTCATCGTCTTCCCCTCCTCTGCCCAAAATTATGCCATTTCGGGAGTAGAAAATAAAGGCTGGTCTTTTTTTTTTAAAACCAAAATCCTTCAATCTGAAGTATTTTTCAGTAATATTCAATATCTTAAAATAATTTTCAGTATACTATCCAAAAATATTTTTCAGTAGTACTCGGTATCTAGTAAACTGCAATATGAACTATTTTTCCAATAACACCCAATATCTTAAACTAATTTTTAATGCATCTGGTATCTTAAAATAATTTTTAATGCACATGGCACCTAAAATTATTTTTCAGTAGTACACAGTATTTACCAAGCTACATTATGAACTATTTTTTCAATAGTACCCAGTACCATAAACTAATTTTTACTGCATCCAGTACCTTACATTATTTTTTGAGTATTAACACCCAATATCCTAAAGTTAGTTTAAAATATTGTGTGCTATTGCAAAAATACTGCAGCTCCAACTTACTAGATACTTGGTGCTATTGAAAAAATATTTTAAGGTGCTAAATGCTTTAAAAATTATTTTAGAATATTGGATGTTATTAGAAAATAATTCAGAGTGATACATATTGGTTTTAAAAAAAAAAAAAAAAAGAGGGTTAGTCTCTATTTTTACGCCCAAAACGGTGTAGTTTCGGATAGAGGAGAATAGGATGGTAAGGGTGGGGGAGTAAAGCCGGTCCCCTTTCTTTCTCCCTCTTTCTTTCGGCTAGAGAGGAAGGTGATCCTAAGCAACTTGTAATCGCAAGGAACACTAGCATGCCTACAACAATGTCTGTAAACATAACCACTACCTACGACAGCGAAATAGAAGTTGCGTTTTTCTGCTTGTCAGGATGAGAGAAAGGCTAAGAATAATAACTAGTCGGATACGTTTGAGGTAACATCCAAAACAAGATGATAGCACGGGTTTAAGTCAGGGAAGTGGAGCTATTATATAGGCACAACTCTAAAAACAATCAAACAGTCATTCATTTACTATTCAAGAGATTTTTTTTTCATATTCAAAAGCCTATGATCATTCTAAATGACTACAGCGAATCGTTCAGCTCTAATCTTTTCTTGTCCCACCAGTTTCTCTGTTTTCCATGTTCTCTCTCGACCCCTTTAATCTCTCTACCCTTGATATCAAAGATTGATATTTAATATTCCTCCGATCCTAAATATAAGACCCTCATATACACTATATGAGGGTCTTATATTTAGAACCGGAAGAATAGGAAAGAGATATAGAAAATTAAAGAAGATAATTAAAGCAAAAAGAAAAAAAAAATTGAGGTTTTCGACTGCTTCAACCAATCCACCAAACCTCATTAGTTTGACGGACCAAGTCTAGTCTAATCTAATCCAACATCCGTTACTCTAGATTGGACCACATCACATAGTGCCCAACCCAACCCAACCCAAACTTAAACCAAACTTCAGGTTAGGCTCTAATGTGGGCCGGTATATTCCTTGTCCAACCCTAAGAGCAAACCTAAGTTGGAGGGATATATCATTTCTTTTGCTCTTCATACACGACGTACAATCTTTACTACCAACAGAATATACTCAGAATGTCTTACCAAAAATTACAACTACATATATCCCTCGAACCCAACAAGTATCGATCAGTTATCAATCCTATTTATCAATTTGGCAAGATCCAACTCTTTTAAAGAAATTTGCATTGAACATAAACTTGGAACCCCCCTTGTTAGCATCCAAACTACTCAAGCGATAGAAAATAACTGCCCCCAAAATAATTTTAGTTTCAAACGCGCACCGCCTAAAATGATTTGATGAGCAGGTACCATTCAAAAGAATCATATCATCAAAAGATAAACTAAACCAACAACAGAATAATGTTCCTAACATTTCAGACACAACTGTTGCATAAAATAGAGCGTAGTCTTGATGACACATGATGATCTCTAGGTTAACATTTACATATCCAATAGTAGTAGTAATAATCATAATAAATGAATACATGATCACGATGAGTCAATCAATAAAATAGTCCGTAGCCACATTCATGTTGAGCATCTGGGAATCACAAGTCCTTGCTCTCTTCTTCTGAAATTCACACTTACATTCTACATTTTCCGTAACCTGTCAATAACATCAAAATATAAACATTAAGAAAACAGCACTTCTCGTAACAAATTAAATTCTCCCCAGTCCGTCCAAAAATATATCAAGACCCCAGAAGTTTAAAACAAAAATTGAATTCAAATCTAAATCAAAACTACAAATATTCACATCATTTGCGTCACTCTCAATGTTCCTCAGTTCAAAAACACGCTAAAGCACCCGAATAAAACTTATCTAAAAATGTTTCCTCACGCCTAGCTCCACCTACATTTTATAGCCGGTCTCAAATCCAGACAAGGGGAGGAAGGTTATGTTCAGCTCTCAATAGCCAAGATAAGACTCTACTAAAACTTTTATGACATTATGAACATAAAACTTTTTAATTAACAATTTATCTAAAGATTTGGTTATCCATACAACACAATGACATATGCAATTGTGTAATCGATTACAACTTGTGGGATTAAACATTACCACACATCTAGATAAGGTCTTGTCTAGGTGCATTGATAGGAATTTAATTCTTAACTTTGAGAAATGTCATTTCATGGTTGATAATGATATTGTTTTGGGTCATCTAGTTGCTAGGAAAGGAATTGAAGTAGATAAAGCTGAAATTGAAGTAAATCTAAAAGAGCTCAAGTCATTCCTTGGACATACTAGGTTTTATAAAAGATTTGTTAAGGACTTTAGCAAGATAGCAACCCTTTTGTCTAGGCTCATGCAAAAAGACGTGGAGTTTGAAGTTTGAAATTTAATTAGATTAAGAATGACCAGAGGCGAAGCTACTTACTGGGATTAGAGGAGGTAATGAGGCCAGAGTTGGAGAAGTAGCAGTCGAAGTCGTGGCGACCCTTGGCCTGATAAAAGGCGTTCATGGCGTACGTGGCCAGCTGCCGAACGTTACTTGGGTCATAGCATGCTCCTCCCGCCTGAATCGGCTTACAGTCCACTCCCTGGCTGCATACATACTCTATGTTCGCTTGTAGGGCCTGCTGGGTCGTCTCAGGCTTCGGTATGCACCATTTCTGCCCTACTTTACTTGGGCCTTTTGGGCTTGGACTTGGGCTTGGGCTTTGGCCTGGATTTTGCGTTACTGGTACTGCCTGTATTAGTATTTAATATTAATTATTAGTTAATTATCAAAACTATTAATATCAAACATTTTCTTCCTTAGATTAACATCTGCATCATTGCCGATGCACCGAAACTCATCTTGAGCGGGTCCAACTTTTATTTGGCCGCGTACAAAATATATTGGTTAATACTAGTCCTTAAGTTCCAAACCAAAAAATTTAGTTCCTTAAATTTCTTTCCTAAAACATCAATTTCTTTAATTTAATAAAAATCTAAAACATTTTGTAAGGAACAAAATCTGTGATTTGAAACTCGAGAGGACTAAAATCAAAATTTGTACAACTTGAAGGATCAAAAATTATATTAAGCCAAATATATTCAGCCAGTACAAGTGTTTACGGTTTTGAGATAGATTGTGCATGACTAAAGACTTGTAACTGCTAAAAATAAATTACACATAAATCCTTAAACAAATTTCAAGTACCTTTGGGCAATCAATTTTGCCAAAAGGAATTTTTTTTATTGCAATTTTGTTAAAAAAAATCAAAGATAATTTGAAATGATAAATTTAAAAAAAAAAAAAGGACAACATCAATAAGCTATAGATTAAAAATATACAGCATATTCTTGGTCATCATCAACTTTTGAAAGTCAAGGTGTCCCCTTGCTAAAATATCGCCATCAAAGAATTGACACCTCATGTATGAATACTATGAACATAAATACGGCATCACACTTCATATGTCACCCTAACCCTACCACCTGTGAGTCATGAAGCTTCATCTGTCTCTCTGAAAAGTGACTCACATTTTTGTGGAAACATCTTATTATTAATTACGTTTACTAAGTTCGTAATCAAAGAAAATTTTGTGTGTTTGTAATTATAACTTGTTCACATCAACCACATAAAGGATAAGTATGCGGATGAAAAGAGGTACACTTGGGCAGCTGTAATTATGAAACAAGAACAAGAGTCAAACCATATGTTATTAAATAAAAAATATTTGGTATTCCTAGTATATTATTAAATAAAATATTATATTATATTACCAAATAAAAAAGTTGAAAAATAACAGATGACAAAAATAGGTCAGATGCGCATGTGGTATACAATGAAGAACACCGACAATCTTTTTGTTTAAGACGTTAAAAAGACCTCGTATGTGATGTTTACCGTAATGTGTGAAATAATTAAATTAAAAATGATTTTCCTTAAAAAAAATACTTACAGAAAAGGTTAAAGACCAGAAATAAAATAAAAATACGGACTCAGAGACGATATTTCAAATAAAAACTCAGAATCCCAAGAATATAAATAAATAAATAAATAATCGCCCGTCATGATTATTATAAATTTCCCACCCCCAAGAATCCAATCCAGGTCAAAAGAAAGCATAGAAAAACTTTAATTATTTTCTAAACTCTCAGAATAAATAAAATTTTATACCTGTCCGTTGCGCAAGATCCCAGCGTCATAGACCGGAGTAAAATCGGGTTGGAACATTCCCCAGTTCCTCTCGGCGGTCGGACCGGGTTTCTGGTTCTCATTGAACAAGGCGAAGATGTAGGTATCGAACCGGCGTTTCGGCATCAACGGCGTCCCCTTCCCGGACTCCACGTGCGTCACCAGCTGGCCGTTGTACGACGCCGCATTGGACACACTACAAGCTTCCCATCCATCACAGTTCGTCGGCCAACCCGTCTCGCCGACGGCGATATCGACATCACCGAACCCAATGGCCTTCATTGCGGAGTAAACCGCGTCCATGAGTGCGTCGAACTGGTTCGTGTAGGTCAGCCCAGTGTTCCGGTCGAACAAGCCCCGGTTTGGCCTGAACAAAGCGAAGTTTGCGTTTTTCGGGTTGTATCCGAAGTACGGGTACGGGTTAACCATAAAGGGGGCTTTAGTTTCCCTCAAGAATTTCAACATTGGAGCGAACACATATCGTGCAAATCCATATCTGAACCGGCCAGCGCTTGGTGGAATAGACGCGTGCATTATGGCTAAAGAATGTGCAGTTGTAACCTGAAATGTTTCAGAAGATAACGTTAATTAGCTTAAATTTACCTTCTTATAACGATTCAATTCCTAAAATATCGTAAGATCAGCTGAGTAAAATCGAATCGTTTTGAAAAACCGAAGGAGATTTTGTCAGGTCTTTTAGGTTAGAGGGATTTAGTTGAAATGTCAATGAAATTGGAAGGGCAAAAGAGGGATTTAAGCAGGAAGAAGGGGAAAACTAGCACATTTTGAATACCTTGATGTCTCTGATTCCCTCGGCGTTCAGAGCTCTGTGGAGAGTTCTCATGGCGGGGACGAGAAGCTTTATGGTGTTCCAATCGGTCCAATGGAGCACTTCACTGCCGACGAGGATGTACTTGATTTTAGTTTGAGGGTGGAAAGGCTTGATGTGAGTAACGACCCACTGGCGAGCGGAATCTAGGTTGGTTAGGGCCACAATATCTCCGTTAGGTGCTGTGACGGTGACGGAGATGCCACTTCCGGCGAAGGCTTGCAGGATTTGAGGGCTCACATCGAAGATCTTAACACTGTCGATGGTTGTCTTCGTCTTGAGGAAATCCGCCACCGCTTGCGGTGACGGAAGGTTGTCTCCGACGGTGCCATAGTTAACGCCGATGGAGAAGACGGTGGTAGCGAGATGGAGGAGAAAGATGAAGAAGATAGCTGAGATTGGAGATGTAGCCATGGTTTCTGGTTTGTTCTTGCCCAGGATCACCGTAGAAAGGCAATATATAGCAGAAGCGGAATTTAAAATAAAATAGAAAACGTGTTTTTTTATTATTAAAAAAAAAAAGACGATATATAGCGGAAGCGATCCAGCCGAGATCTCCATCATGAGGTCTATTTATTGACTAGATTTGTCTATTTAGTTATTATTTGTAGTTTGAAGGTTGAAACAGAAAGTATTTGATCTGTGGAGAGTTCAGTAGTTTACAAGTTTTTTAAAAGGGTTGGCAAAAGAAAGAAATAAAGAAAAAAAAAAGTTTTTTAAAGGAGTAATACACAAGCACAAATAATAAATTCGAAATCTACGAGAAAGAAAGAAAGATAAATTTTATCATTACTGTTAGCGGACGCAGAACTACTGCACATGAGAACGTAAAAAATGGAACCTTTTGAATTCGTTTGTATTCAAAATCAACCAACTTGGATATTTTTTTTTTTTTGGGAATTTGTTTTTCCTCTTATAAGGACAAGACTGCTTATCATCTCAATAAACAGTTTATTAGTATTTTAATTTTTATTTATATGAGTAACCTCTTGTCTACATAACGTAGTAATATATAATTAATTAAATTTAGTAATATTATTGTAAATTTAACCAAAATAATTTTAAAAAGAGATTTATTATTTAAAAGGAGGGTGAGAGGAGGTTATCTATATAGTGTATTTTCATTCTACAACATTAACGAATGTGGTCATGAGTTTATAATCTCTGTATGTGTGATATTTTTATATAATCATTTAATATTTAATAGTATTATGTCACATATAAGTATTATTAGACTAAATTAATAGTTATTCTCTGTTAGACTCACAATCTAATCTTTTCTCCAGACACAGTCTCATCTAATCTAATTATGATAAATAATAGTATTTATATGTTACAATTAGTATAATACACTAATCATATTTTATTTATGTTATTTTTAATATACTCAATTCCTAAATATAAAACTCTTTACGAAGTATGATACTGCCTCCCATTTTAAATATAATATTTAGCTTGTAGTGCAATTTGCAATACTAACTAGTATTATTAATTATTATTGTTGATTATATGGTTAATTAAATCATGCAAATGTTATTTTCTACTTCATGTTGGCAAAACAAAAAAACAAAAAACTGTGTCTGAAATGTTTTCTTGTTTTGAAAATAGTTTTTCATTTTAAAAAAATTAGTTTGGTTTTAGTTTTTGCATATTTTATGTTTTGTTTGAAAAAATTGAGAAAATCTTTTTTTCTTCATTCAATGGCTTTTTCTCTGAAGTTTTCATCGAAACTTCACCCTCCAATATCAGTAGGTTTACTTTTAAATATAATTTTTTAGAACAATTATTTCGGCAGATTTTTTTTTTGTTTTTTTTCCTAAGACTTGTTTTAAAAAAACAATTTTACAAAATTGTTTGGAGGAAAAAACATAAACAAATAAGCACCTAATATTTCATGTTCTTCAATGAAACTGAATAGTGGCTGCTTGGTTTAAAATGAGAGTGACTCCCTTCAAGTTGATACATAAGATACAACTTTCAGGATAGGGCTGATCCTACTCATAAAATACAATTAAAAATATATAAAATTTTAACTTTTTTTTTATCTTTTAATTGTTTACATATCATATTATTGCAATAATTATCTTATTTTTCTCACGCATTCTCTCTTACTTACTTTCTCCAAATAAGAGCATTTTAAAAAATATATATTTTATAATTTATTTTATTTAATTAATTTTAACTAACCTTTTAATTAATATAATTCAATTATTTGTATATTACATACAGGATAAGAGGGAGTATTAACTGCCTTTTTTAATCCATGAGATTTGTTTAACAAAGTCTTATATTTTAAATTGAAAGAAATATTAATTGATTGAAAATTAGGGAAAATTATTGACATGTTTTTATTAGAGAAGTCTTGTATTTGAAATGACTTAATTGAGTGGGTATAACTCTTTGTTTTCAGTTGCATGCAACATATTTTTACATATGTGCAAATATTTTTTGTTTTACACATAACTAAAAATACGTTGCGTGATGCACCTAGTTGAAAAAGATTTAACTTGCTAAAAATAAGTTGTGCCTATGTCTTTATAGAAATTTTAGAAATCTTTAGACAATAAGTAGTTTAATGAGATTTTCAACATTTTTCTCTTGAAATTAAGTGTTGTCAAGGGTTTTAGCATGTATTTACAATATTTAAACCACTAATATTGCTGAAAAAAGATTTTCTAGTACTTATATCACACACAATGATTATACAAATCTTGATGTGGAGGAAGAGGAAAAGGAATTGAGATGAATATTGAAGGAGGGAATTTGAATTTGGAAAGAAAAGGGCAAGATTCAAAGAAGGAAGGAACAAGGAGGAGGTGGGGCCCGCAAAAGACTGGGAAAGAGAAGAACATGATTGACGGTGGAGGGAATCAGATTCAATGGCAGGCATCCAAAGTGTCGTCCGGGAGAGTCAAAAGCCGTTGGCGTATCCGTTTGGGATTGTCCATCCCTAGGGTGTGCTCCAAACGCTTGCCTCTCTTTCCTCTCACTTAAATTTAAAAAAATAGCACCATATTCTTTTTATTTTTTTAAAAATTGCTAAAGAAATCCTTCGAATATGTTCCTCTTTAAATAATTTTTGCTTTTGGTTCATGTGTTTTATTTTTTCCTTAAAAATATATTTAAAATAATTGCATAGAGGTGGTTTTTCATGTCAGATGATGCTTCTTATTATATAATAATCACACCCTTCTTCTCAGGTTAAAATTTTTTATAATATTAGGCCACATTTCGCTTTGAGAATGTAAGAAAATGAAATAGAAAAATAATATAAAATTTAGATAACTAATTTGCAGATATTAAAACAGATGCTGTCTTTTCTAATATATATATTTGAATTATCTATCAATAAAAACTCCTTAACATATATGCAATCACCTTGATAATTACTTAAGGATATACTAGATAAATATTAAAAATAAGGTGAATTGAAATCTTATAAATAAGATCAAATTGAATCTCTAAAAGAGATAGTAATACTTTTTAAATAACAAATGTCTTTTTATGCTATTAACAAAATAATGAAAATTTTCACAAAACAATAAAATAATGAGAATATATAATCATTTTTATCAATAAAAAAAATTAAGTGAGATAAGTCTCAACAAATACTATGGCCCAGAAAAAAAGGTCTCAACAATTACCCTATAAAATGCTTGTTTCATATGAACTTTTCAATTTTCATGAAGATAAAAGGTCAAAGGGTCTTATTTTTTAAAATGGGTTTTATTGTCTCCAAAAAAAGAGAAATTACAAATAGATACCAGAGTTGATCACAAGCGGGACTGGTCAAATTTTGCCCAAAGACAGAACTGATAGATTATGCTCAAATCTCTTAGAAAATTGTCGATAGTTTAACCAATTTAAAGAACTTATTCATAAATAAAATTTTCATTTTAAAATTGTTACACTGCAACTTTCATATTTTATATTGATAATAATTTAAAGATATAATTACCAATCATATAGTATTATCAACTAATTTAAATTTGTTGGGAAAAAAATAACTTAAATTTAAGTACCGAATGGCTAATCAAAATAATATACTGCCTTCTGTTCTAGTAAAATTTATTTTGTAGTATAACTAGATCTTATATTTAGGTTACATTGTGAATTTTTAAAATAGAAAAAGATAAAAAGTGATCTCATTTTTCAAATGCAATTTTAACCCCTAATTGTTCAGGGGTGCAATTTTAAATGTTAAAATTGTACCTAAAGATTAGGAATAAAATTACACAAAAATATCAGGAGTGAAAGTACACCTAAGAAATAGGATCATAGTTAAAATTGCACTGCTAAAGAGATTAGGAGTAAAATTATATAGGAGAAATAAAATCAGAGTTAAGATGTGTTTAGCACTCTTGATGTATTTTGTTAAGTTTGTCTGACACCTTATAATATTTTTTGGTACACTTAGTATCTTAAAAAAAATTTTAAGTGTACCCAGTATCCTAAAATATTTTATAGTACGTTTAACACCCTAAATATTTTCTTATGTGTATGCAGCTCACTAAAAAATGTTAAAAAATATTTTGTGGTGCTTGATATACAGTTATTTAACAGACATTTTGAGGATTTAATAAAAAAATTAAAATTACTTATGAAATAATACGTTAAAAACAAATTACTTTTAAAAGATTAATACTTTTAAGAGCAAAATTATAATACAAAATATTTTAAATTACTAAATATACCTGATAAAGTAGCTCATGCTGCTTAGCACGCCTGAAAAAATATTGGGGACGCTGAAATCAGTTTAACCCAGGAAATCAAAATTAAAATTGCACGTTTATCCAATAAAAAATTCCCTGAGGGATCATTATTGCATTTGTGATTGCCAAAATAATATAAGCAATAATTTTGTTTCGTAAACTGTGAAACTAATTTTGCAACTGGTAACCAGACGAGTCCAAATTGGCGTGATGTGGAGTGCGGCACGCGTTTTTTTACCATGAGCAGTGATTGGAGCTGTTGAATGAAACTGACCCAACGCGGTTTCGCTCAGAGGATGGCGTCTCGCGTCGGCGATTGTCCCTTTCACGTGTTACTTTCTGTGTCTCCTCCGAGTTCCATTTTGTATTCATTCATCTTTTCAAAAAGAAATATAAAAATGAAAACATTAATTTTTATAAACAAAATACAATGAATATGATAAATATTAATTTGCATCTAGATCAGATAAATTAGGTTTAATTATTCTTTTTGGTGGTCGGGGCTATTTACTACAAGATTATTTATTTTTATTTTTTCTAAATGCATATATATATTCAACAATTATATTTGAGATATTATTAGACGTTAAATATAGATGCTTCTTTTAATAGGATTCAAAGCTATGTTGTAAAAAATTAACCTGATAGGCCTAATTCTTGTCATGAGAGATTATAACTTTGTGATCTTCCCACTAAGTAAAATTTTAAGGGCTTA